ACACGGTTCCCAGCAGATCACCGAAGTCAAGCATCACTGGCTGCGGTCAGTGTGCGGGTGGGTGACCACTTGGATCAGTCTGCATAGGGACCGAGGGTGTGCGGTATTGGTCCTCGTTAAACTGTGCTACCGTAAAGTGCTCGACTTCGCGCGCAGGTCGTCGGGCTACCGAAGCGGGGGTGCCACCCCCTCCGCAGAGGATCAAAATTTTGATGGCATGTCTTCGGATCATCCTCCGGGATGTTTCCCAGACCGTCGCCAATAGCCCATTGTGCAGCTCTAGTGTGACGTAAATTAACATCAACAACAAAATCAATACGCGAAAATTAACTTCACGTTAATTAACATTCTGACGTAAGTGGAGAAACTTAGCTCGACATTATCACGCCATTTTGCTGATCAGCTTGCGCTGATGAATTCATAGGTCACATGTGTGGATATTCGTGATCTTCTTCTTAAAGTGCAAGTATTCAATTATTTCAAATTTATTTTCAAATGAATAAATTTTGTTTTTCTAATAAATATAAATTGTATGTTGAATTATTGGTTCAAAAACAAGAACCCTAAATTTTATTAGTTGAAAACGATATATTCAATACTTAAATTTTATAAAATTTACTTAGAGATTTTATGGACACTTTACTTCATTTTTGAAATTAACTCTATGGTGTTTACCATATTTTGTGAAATACTCCAAAATAATTGTTCTACATTAATAATAGCAAGAGTTTTTTTTTTGATAGTTTAAAATTTCTAATTTTTGAAAAAGTGGCCACATGATAACAAAAGTGGCTACTATTTAAAATTCTACTGTTTAAAATGCTACTCCTGACCTTTGACCGGTTACATAGCCTCCTAATTTTAGCCTATAGTGCTATCAAAACAGTAAGGGTCATTTAACCGATATGCTATTTTATTTTCTCTTATCACCGTCATTGAACAGCTGACCCGATTTTGTGTATACACTACCAATGTTCAACTACGTAGCCTTGTAATTTTGTATCCAATCTAGAAGACAACTCTTGGATCAAGTATTGGGAGAAATTCTCCTTCGTTGAGAACTTTTGGATGGAATTAACCAGCATTCGCGTTACATGGAGAAGAAAACCATGAAAACCTCCCGCGGTTTGCTTGATCACAAGGGGACTCATGATCTGTCTACCTATGAGGATATTTTACCTCAGCGCTGAGGTCGGTGCGAGCCGGGTGCAAAATTCGACTTGCAAAGCCGTCGCTGGGATTCGAACCCCGGTCATCTCATTGGGAGGCGAACGCTCTTTGTCTTTGATATGCTATTTTATACGGAACTCTACTTTATGAGTCAATTAAAATAAATAGCAACTTTTCATTAAAAATCTAAATCTCTCATCAAAATTACTTCTTGCTTAGATTTTGGAGACACTCTGCAGTTCGTGAGAAAAAACTTGGCTACAAATCTGTTCGAAGTGATAAATGCAGTGGAGCTAATAAAATTGCAACTTTAGATCTATTTGGATCTTGCTCTAAGACATTCAAAGACACTTTCTATTTAATGGAAATTAAACTAATTATAATTCTGCAGAGTGATTTCATCTGGAGAAGACGGTTTGCTTCTTATACATCCAGGTTCGAATTTCATCAATAGCAGTTTTGTCCTCTGAATATTTAACATTATTTCAAAATTGCTACGATATTTTGAGCTCTCGGGCAAGTTTCTAGCAGATCTTTGTAATTTTCGTCATATCCTTTCCCAGACCTTTTTCACAGTCTCTTTTGTTTGATCAGACCAGGGTCACCTTCTGAGGACATCTCATCATACCTTCAGATAGTTATGTAAATAAAATCTCTCTTTACCATCAGGGCTTTCAAGTTTCTGAAACTTTACCCGACTGCTCTTCTTTCATGAATTTACTTATCGCAATTTCTTTAAATTCCTTCATTCTACCTAGAGAAGAAAAATTATAAGTAGTACAACATATAAGCTTGCAATAGCTTATATATACTTAATTCTAAATTGTCTAAAAAGAATTGAGACAACAGTGACTGGCAAAGGAGGATCTAATTTTTTAACATGCTTCAAAAGGTGTTTGGAAACCTTTTGGCCACAGTGTGTTTGTGAGTGTGTGCATATACCAGATAATGTCCTTGTAGTCAGNTTTAAATATATATATATATATATATGTGTGTGTGTGTGTGTGTGTGAAAGTTTTATTATACATAGTTATATTATACATATAAGTTTTATTATGTGTTTTTGCTAGGTATTTTTTATTTCGTATATATTTTACTGGTTGTGTTCAATTTTCGATTCATTTTTTTTAGTGCTCCTCACACTATTGTATATATTCTACTTTAGCTATATTAATACAATATTAGAAAGCACTCATTTTTGCGGTTATAATCGTGAGAGCTCATGACGAGATTATATCCTTTCATTATTTTGTTTTCCAGCTTTTTAATATTCTTTTAAATAAATTGTTTTTTAAATATTTTATTTTCATAATTTTTGTTCTTCGCTTTTCATTAATCTTTGTTAGATTATTTTCCATTTTTTCTTTGTATATTTAACTTATTTTATATACTAGCAGCTTATTCGCAGTAAATAAAGCTTATTAATTTTCTGAATTTTCTTCGTTAAATATTACTTTGCGACTTCCCCTTTGGAAGAAAAATTTGCATAATTCTTTTTTGCTTGAAAAAAGACTATTTTTGGAGTTTTCGCTTCGAGATAAGAAAAAATTCGTTTTGATTTATTAAATAATCACGGAGCTAAAATGACAATATCGTTAAACATTAAGAAATAGGTTTTAAAAAGAAATAAAAACGAGCTATAACTATAGCGAAAAAATTTTTCATCTTTTACACTGAAACATTTTGTCATTTAGATTGGAACTTATCGATTATTATAGGAGCAATGAAATACGCCATAATTTAGGAGCAACATCTGATTCTGGTTTGGACAGATCACCAACTACCGATAATGGTATATCAAAAATAAGACAATATCGTCATAAATGACAATAATACACATGGAGCATGAAAATATCGCTATAAAATATCGCTCGTAAAAGTTAGATCATAAAATTCGACAACGTTATTCCATAACATTATTCGATAACGAAAAAAAAAAAATCACAAATATATTATTGTGAATATTTTAAATAACGATAATTAAAATATTATTGTGGTTACCCGGTAATATAAAATATTTTATTGTGTATGTTCATGCATTTTATTAGGGTAAAGAAGGCCCTCTGGCAAATACAAAAATAATATAAGTTAGTTAAAAAGAAAGAAAAAATATAGCGATATATTGATAAATAGTGATATTTCTGACAATGTTTTACAATATTAAAATTTTACACAAATCGGCTTAAAGAGACCAATGTTTGTGTTGGCGACAACTCGGAAAATCAGTCGCCAACACGTAATCCTTATACAGATAAGTACTTTAAAAAAAAATTAGGGTTAAAATGAGAGTCTGCTTGCTCATCTATTTCTAGAGACCAAAGATGTCTGATTCCTTCAATAAAAGAACAAACAAACTAGACAGACTTTTGATCTGGGTGAGGAATTATGAATGAAACAAGAGCCTTATACGGGTGTTAGAGCATGCGACCAGCAACCGTCCTCTGTCGCTGTTTTGTAGCACTCAATTGTGACACTGAACTTATCCTCTACTCAGAACAATGCAACACACATTCTTCATCATCTGCTTTTGTCTCGTCTTCTCAGCAACTGGTGAGTGATTCATATTCTCTCTCCCTCCCCCCCCCCTCTGTAAAAATTCATAATTAAAAAAATATATATAATGATAAAAAGTATTTTGATATAGATGGCCCTTCGTTATAGAGCACCTTCTTTATGTTTTCCGAAAAAAAGCAAATATTATCATTAGGGGGCGTTCAAATATTACGTAAGCATTTTTTTTGTCGATTTCGAACTCCCTCTTTTGTCAACAAAAATAAACAAATCATAAATTGATTTTTGCGTTTGTGTTCGAAAGTCGCAAACGCCTTGTTTGTTTGCTTTAACTTTGAGTTTAACACTAAAAATCTAATTTTAGGATAAAATTTAAATACAGTGTAACTTGGTATGAAACAAAATTTATTTTTCTATTCATTTTATAGAATTTAAAGTAGAAATTTTTTTGTGATTTACTTTTATGTTTAAAACTAATGGTCTCTGAAACAAATTGAAGAATTTCTTTTGCCCAACCTTTTCTTTTCTATAAAAAGAGGTGGGTCTACTACTCTTCATCCAAGTGACGAATTTTTGTTTTATGAAGAAAAAAAATTCTTTTTTTTCTTCAGTGCTTTTAATTTTAAATAACTTTTGTTTAAGCTGTGAACAGTGGCGTAGTTTCGTGAACGAAACCCTCCTCCGAAATTGAACATTACTTGATTAATGAACTATTGTACTGTAAATAGTATGTGATGGATATAAAAATGTTTTTATTATTCACTTTTTGTAACGTTCAGAACGTAATTGTATGAATGTGACGTACTGTTTACATGATTGATCATAGAGATTCCATAAATTTGGAACACAAGGGAATCAATGAAATCTAAATATCATAGAATTAAATAGTAATATAACATAGAATTATAGGGACTTTAAAATCAAACCTAAAAAGAATTATATTTTAATTGTAGATAAGCCTTTCTAACAGACAAGAACATTAAATAATCTCTTTCACCTAATAAACGAAGCACTTCGCACGTTATATTATATTTAATTAGTTAGAATTGTAATCTTTATTTATAAAATGAATTCAGTAAAATATCTTTATGAAGCCGAATTCCCATTCAATTTAATAAATAATTGGAGATTTTAATACATCTTCATCCGATCTTATGATTACTTCCTACGGAGTCAACCCTAACGAAGAAGTCTGGATGTTATGGATCACACGACATGAAAGGAATAATAACTATATGCTGCATGTGAAAAAAGTGCGCACTTGTCTTTTGAAAATGAATCTGCAAAAGTCCCTTGGAATTTCTGCTGTAAATAAAGCTTTTGGGGCATATGATATAAATAAAGGTTCCAACAAATGTGAATACACTTCTGATGTAATATTTTTGCTACAAGAAGCCCAACTGTATCTTGTACAATGATCAATTACAGTATTTAAATGTTTTTTAGGAGAAGTATAGTAGTTAAAATCACCGGCAGAGTCCAATCATATTAACTCAAAGGGTTCTTTGCTGGGTAGTGTTGACTGTAACCTGGGACTAATATAGGGGATATATAGGCCTTTTTATGACTGAAACAAACCATATTTTTTTAAGTGTAAGATCTTTTTCAACTGACAGGTTTCACACTGTTTGACATAATTACTCATGTCCTTAATAATATTCGACCAATAATAGTATGGATAAATAATACTTAACATTTTCTTTACGCCTGGATGACCAAATTCATCATGAACCTTTGAAATTAATTCTTCTCTTAAGGAGAAAGGGACTACAATTTTAATTAAACCTTTTTTACTTACTGTTAAAGCATCATTAATTTTTTTAAAGTTATTGTTATTTAGATTATCAATCATTTAATGTTCAATAAATTTTTATTTTTGAATTAAATGAGTAGAATAGCAATTATGATGAGAGATTTTTTTTCTTTCTGGAAAGCATACCTGCCTCATGATTAGTACTTCCTTTCTTATATTTTATCTCATATTCATACATTGATAAATTCAAAGACCATCTAAATAACCTACCTGTCAGATGTTTCCTCAATTAAACTGGGTCTGCATGGTCTGTATGCACGGTGAAAGGTATTCCATGAAGATAATGTAGATCCAGAGCATCTACTATTACTAAACATTCCAACTCAGTAATTGAGTAATTTTTCTCATAAGTTCTTAATTGTCTCGAATGGAATGAAATGGGATGTTGAGTTCCATCCGGGTGCTCTTGTTTAAGGACTGCACCTATAGCTTCACCTATAGCTTCACCTGAAGCGTCTACATACAAATGACATTTTCTCTATGGGTTGAAAAGACATAAAACTGGTTTGGAAGTTAACGCATTTTTAAACTCTTCAAATAATTTTTGACAGTCTTCGGTCCTTACAAATATAGCATATTTTATAAGTAATTTATTTAACGACAAATAATTTTGAATAAAACGGTGATAAACATTTATACTGCCTACTGCCTAAAAACTTCTGTAATGACTTGACATTATGAGGGGGAAGAAGTTTTTTATTAGTCTCTATATTTGAATCATTAGGTAAACATTTACATTCTGAAATCTCATAACAAAAAAACTTATTACTTGTTTTACAAAAATCACACTTAGAACCTTTCAATTTAATATTTTTTAACCTACAAGTTTCGAAAATTTTTCTAAATGATAGTTAAATGTTCTCGGATTCTGTGCCCTACAGTAAGTGCTGCTTTGACTTATTCACAATGCTTGAAAAAAATACATTATGGATTTCTTTTTACGGAACACATGGTAAATTTTCTTTTTATAAATGTCAATATTTTGAATTTAATAATTTTAGGTCAAATAGATTCGGATTTTATAGAACAAAATTACAATTTCGAAGCAAAGGAAGAAAATGACGAAGTGTTGTTACCACCTCCTCTGGATGATGATAATCATCGAAGGTTCTTAGACGGTCTTGTCATTGAAGCAGGTCGGCACCTTCTTTTTCCAGAACTTTATTCCGAAGAAGAACAGAATTCACCAAGGAACACCAAAGGGATAAAATATTTCGAAAAGAAAGGTCAACCAGAATTCGAAGAGTCCTACCTGAATCGGCCACCCCGAGTGAATAACTGTCCGAGTAATGAATGCACTCATTATAAGCCTGTCTGTGGAACGGACGGTAAAGTTTATGCGAGCGAATGTCACTTGGTGAAAGAAAACTGCGGGTGAGTGCAGTTAACGTACATTTAGAATAACTTTTGATCTTGTGTTCAGATTTTCTAAATCAATCTTAACTTTATTGCGAGATAATCTCTTTCCCCTACTATAAAATATAGAGAAAAGTGAATTCAGGGAAACCTTAACTGATCTATAAAATATAGATAAAAGTGAGTTCAGGTAAACCTTAACTAATCTATAAAATATAGAGAAAAGTGAGTTCAGGTAAACCTTAACTAATCTATAAAATATAGAGAAAAGTGAGTTCAGGTAAACCTTAACTAATCTATAAAATATAGAGAAAAGTGAGTTCAGGTAAACCTTAACTAATCTATAAAATATAGAGAAAAGTGAGTTCAGGTAAACCTTAACTAATCTATAAAATATAGAGAAAAGTGAGTTCAGGTAAACCTTAACTAATCTATAAAATATAGAGAAAAGTGAGTTCAGGTAAACCTTAACTAATCTATAAAATATAGAGAAAAGTGAGTTCAGGTAAACCTTAACTAATCAATAAAATAAAGAGAAAATAAAAGTTCAGGCTAACCTTAACCAATCAATAAAATTTAAAATGCTGCAATGTTTTTTTTTTTTGTGAAAAATTAAAATGAAAGCAAATTAAGGCAGGATTAGTCTGGATTAAGCAGTAGGAAAGTAGTCCTAAAATAATTTGCTAGTTGAGAACATATTTTCTGCACTTGAAACTTCATGGTTTACTCCAGGTTTCTGTCCCAGTCAAGACACCGTTCTTGAATATTTTAGATTTTATTTTGCAGTTTAACTAGTGCTGAAATTGTTTTCTTAGATTTGACTGTTACTTCTATATCGTCTGCAAATATACCCTTTATATTTCTTCTTGATCAGTTGGAAAATCATGAGTGTAGATGATACACAGAATTGGTGTTATGGCACCCCAGCGAAAACAGATTTGAAAGTGGAGTATGAATAATTAATTCGAATATTAAATGTTCTTATAAATGTTGATGTGCTGGAATTTTGATGAGAAAAATTACGACATTTATAGTTTGATCAATTAGGTATAAAAACATTTTGTTGGAAGAGATTGGTACCCGGGCTCAGAAGAGTCTCCCAAAGATTTTCACTATTTGACAAATATTGTCTGACCATTTGGCATGCTTATATAATTTCATATTTTTACGTTTACTTATTAATTTTTTAAAAGGAACACAAATGAAATTATTTACACGTTTACTTGACTTTTTTAAACAGCTACGAAGAAAAGTATGCTTAAGTATAATTTAAGGTAGCCGTTTCGCAATTTTGTCTTAAAGAAATTTAATTTCCTCCTTGCCATTTTTAAGCACTCATCTTCGTTCTCTTTTCCGTATACGTATGATTCCGTAGAGAAATACAAATTAGAGCTTTTTGTATCATCCATCAAGGAAATATGCGAACACAGTATTTTACAAATTGTGAACACGTTATGAATCTATAGTTGAAACAGCTGTTAGTTTAATTCGTTAGGATAGCAAAATTCCCCCCAAAAAATATTCAATACCTTATAGTACTAAGCTGAACTACTATTCTCCTACTGCTGTTGAATTTCTTTACCATTACCAATACATGCGCGAACCACACGATTTCCTGAATTATTGTTGCTAAAGGTTGAAGACCTCTAGATTAATACGCTTATTTGTAGATTTTTATACTACACCAATCATACTTAATCTCTAAACTGCCATCATAAATTTCTTTAGCACCACATTATTGATTGTCAGATAGTTTATACATATGGGTAAATTTATTAAGTATAATGGTGAGCAAGAACAGTCTAAATCAAGTTTATGAAACACTGAATAAAATATCAAAGTATAAATTTTCATAACATTTAAAATATAAAAATAAAATCTTCCGGAAAAACTAAGAAAAGTTGACAACAATTTTATTCATAACTTATAGCTTCATCACTAAGAAAATTTTTTAGAGTCGCTTTTGATGGCCCTATATTATAATATGTAAGAATAATTTTATTTTATTTTATAAGCGTCGTTGAACAGCCAACCCAATTTTAGGGTTTACGACTACTAATGTTCAACTTCGTCGCCTTGTAATTTTGAACCCAATCTGGTTAACAAAGGAGTTCCTGAATCAAGTATTGCGAGAATTATGCCCTCGTGGAAGACGTTTTGATGGAACTGACCCACATTTGCGTTACATGAAGATGAAAACCACGGAAACTTCCCATGGTTAGCCCGGCGGCAAGGGGGCTCTAACCCATGATCAATCTACCACAAAGGATATTTTTACGTCAGCAATGTGATCAGTGCAAGTCGGATGCGGAATTCGAATCGATCAGCCACTGTTGGGATTCGAACCCGGGACACCTCATTGGAAGGTAAACTCTCTATCCTCTGAGCCATCACGGCTCCCACGTAATGATTAAGTTTATTGTTTAAATAAGTAAAGAGAAGAAAGCACGTAATTCCCCGTTCAATTGATAAATTTTGTTTGAAAGCACGAAATTAAGATGCGCATTTAGAGCAGTATCCATTTCGTAATTATACATTTTGAGCTGTGTCCAGATTCAAAAACTCACCGACAATATAACGAAATTGCATGCATTTGGTGTCACATAGGCAGTGCAATGTGTTGTGTTAAAGTTCCCACTAAAAAATTCACCAATTGTGTAATAATTGAAAAGCTTAGTGGCGAAGTTTCTTAAGAAGGGAAACTTAAAAGAGAAACGAGAGAAATCTTATATTAGTCTAATTCAACAACACAATATAGATTTATTTGGGTGAATCAATAAATTACTTTGACTTATAAATTGACTTATTGATAGTCTTTGAGTGCTTTTGTAATGGAAGAACGTTTTAATTGCAACAAACAGTTGACGAGTAATCTCAAAAGAGGAAAAAATTCCGACATCTTAAAATCCCGAGGATGCGTACGCTACGACGTGAACAGTTATTGATAACAAGTGAGGGTTAGGGATTCATATATTTCTCCTATTGAATTTTGCGAATCACCAATAAAAGAAAGGCATTCTTATTATCTGTGCGTAAAACCCAATGAACACATATTCGAGGAAACACTACTTTAAACCCAATTAAGCTATCAATGCAATGCGAGGTCTGTACTAATAAATAGTTTGTATTGTCCATTTATAGGAAGAACAATGTGAGCAGTGGACACTGGTTGAAATGTATGGGGACTCATTATTTGTGTCCCTCCCGATGCCTGGACCTTAACGAACCAGTGTGTGGATCAGATTTGAGGATATACCACAATATCTGCTTGATGAGGAAAAGAAACTGTGGGTTTGTTTATGTTTTATATCTTTCTTACGTCATCATATTTTTCCCCGGAGAGAGTTGAAGAACGATGAAATACCTATTTTTGTTTATGTATTAGAGGAAAGAAATTTTCGTATCTTGGTTAAGAAAACAGTTACTATGGGAAAATAGTTCAATTGCTTGTTGAGAGATGGCGTTCTTAGCAAAAGAGAAAACCATATTAAAATGGTCGCAATAATAATAAGTAAAGCCGACTTCTTCCAATTTTGTTCGTTCAAATTTTATAAGTAGTCAGACGGTGTCATTATTCTATGGTAATTACCCTGAGCTTATATGAAGTTTTCGAAAATATCAAAATAAATTTTTTTTTGTAGGATTTTGCGTTATAACAATTGCCGAAACTTATTTACCAATTCGGTACAGGATCCTAAACAGAAATCTTCGCCATAATATCTGATATGACATGTGATTTACATTTTTGACATTAATTCACATTGATTATTTTGATTTGATTTTTTATACATATCATTAAATATATACTCAATTACAGAAAACCATCCAATTAATTGACAAAACAGTCTGATAGAAATTTGTTAATAAAAACGAGAAATAAAACTTTCTGCACTAATAAAATTTATATAAAAATACAAACGCATTTTCGTCTTTATTAATAAACAAACAAAATACAGCGATATTTTTTTATAAAGCGATGGAAAGAGAAATAAAAAATAAAAATATGCAGAAGTTGTCTTTGTTTTGTGTTTATAACTGCATTCGCTGTCAGAATACATTACATTTGCGTAATAATTCTTATCTTCTTTCTCTACCTCTCTTTATATTTTATTTCTCAGTATGTATGAAAGTGATTAGAGCTTAAAAAAGCCATAGAAAGTTTTCTAGTCTAATGTCATGTGCAATATTAAATTATTAAATTGAAATAGAAATGTATTGTGTATTATGCAGGATGTTACGCAATTAAAGTGCTAATGTAAACTTTTAAAAATTCTTGTCGACGAAGTAGGCGAAACAGAAATTACTAATTAATATTTAAATAAAGGAAAAAATATCTCTCGAATTACTATTGAGGAAGGTGGGAAGAAAACAAATAAGCCAGTTTGATTTCATGACTTTATTTTATTTTGTAATCGTCATTAAAAATCTGATTCATGTTTGGGTTTACTGTTATCAATGTTCTATTTTGTAGCCTTGTCATTTTGAACCAAACGTACAACAAAGGAAACTCCAGGATTAAGAAATGGCAACAGTTGAAATGGCAACGAAAACCTACCACGGTTTGCCCGACAGAAACGGGATTTTGACCTAAGAATCGCCTACTTCTGATTTAGAAAATATTCACATCAGCACTGTGGTTGATGTGAGTTGAGAACAGATTTCGTATCGAACGGCCATAGCTGGGATATGAACGATGGTCACCACATTAAAAGGCGAGCTTTGCTCCGGCAATCAAACACGGTTGATATTTCCAGTTCCACCTTCCTCACTAGTGATTTCGATAACGCTTTTGATCTCGTCTCGTCATAAGCTTACGCTATTACATAGGCAGAATAGAATGATTTCTATTATAGTATTAATTTAGCCAAAGCAAAATATATCAATAAAATAGAGTGAGAGGCACAAAAAAGAATCGAAATGAAAATAAAACATAACAAGAAAAAATTACAAAATAAAAATTCAAGAAAAATGCAGAATAAAACACAAAATGTAACATATAAAGCGAGTAGCGAAGTCAAAAGTCCTTTAACTTTCTGACATTTTGCAAAAATGATTAAAAAATATGTTCGTAACTAGTTTGCAAGATTACAAAATATAAAAAAAACGTAAATAGAGTTTAGTGGGATACATTTTATGTCGTGTTCCTACAGAACCATATTACATTTGTGAATTACCTTGCATGGCCCCGAAATTGGATTTGCACACGGTAATTATTTTAAACTCTCTAATTCAAAGTTTATAATTAATAAAAGGTTGAATTTTAACTATGACATTTTAATTTTGATGATTTTTTTTTGAGAAATTATTTACATTTATTGAAAAAATTCTCTAGTAAATATTGGAAGATTTTCAGTCATAGATTTGCCCGAATTTGATTTGCACGTGGTAAAAATATTTAGATATCTTTAATTTTATCTATCTTTTTTGTATAAATAATTATCATAATCGTTGGACTAAAGCTAAATATTTTATTTTCTGTCCTCACAGGAAATTGTTACAAAAGCTCCCCCTTACTGTTTGTTATGAAAGATTCAGTCGTAAGTAATAACTTTTATATATTTCATATTTACTGTTTCTTTTCTCCAAATAAATAGGGTGTTAAAAAAGCATGAAAATGGTCAAATATTTGGAGAAATATGCTTTTGAACAAACTTCTTAATGTGCACGTTTGAAATATTTTAAAAGATAAATTAAATAATCTAAAATTTGAGACTTCAAACTCACCCCTTGGTTGATGGGGTGGGAAGAAAATCTTCAGTAAGAACCCTTTATGTATTTCATGTTTGGATTCTCCGGAAAAACATATGCTTCAATTTGACTGTCAAATCTACTTACAGATGGAGCTGTCATCGGGACATAATAATTAGTTGAAATAATTTAAATTTGAGATATCTTGACAAAATACAGTCAGACCGAAAAAATAGCCGTCGTTCATATTTTGAAAATACTAACTAATAATACATAACTAGATCCTCACATGACCCCTTTAATTTGTTGTGATCCGAGGGTTGGCGCTGAGACGTAGGTTCGAATCTGTGAACTAAAACGTCTTAGCTTACACCGCTGCTTTAGAGCTTGTTCGTAAGTTCGATCTTGGTGCCTTACAGTGTGTCCCATCTGTATCTAAATACATATTTACAAGAAGTAACTCACTTCCTGTTTCACCTGAACAGGAAAAAATACATCGAAAAAGAGGAGATAGAATCTCCCATCGAAATGGAGTCACTCCTGATTACAGCTAGTGTATCGGTCATGTTTATATGCGACTTGAAGTATATGATGTTGCATGTCATTTACCAAACCCTAAGGCATATTAGCAACCCCATTATCTCAGGCAAATGATGTCAGCCCTCTATTTTACCTCAAACTGAAACGGCTTCTTTTTTGTATATACAGCCTTACTGAGAATAGGCCTTTACATTTTCATTAGGCTTGAGATCATGAGAAATGGCAGGTCAATTTCGAAATGCACTCAATTATTCAGAAACCACTAATTTGAAGATTTTACAGCGTAAATGCAGCGTATTCTCCTGCTGGAAAATCTGACTTGAGTCCACATTACTCGCTTCAATTGCCAATAAATGAGCATCTAGCATTTTTTGGTAATCTCTATCCTTCGTGAGGTCAAGGAGAAAAGGCTATGTGAAATTTACCATTATAGCCGAAGCCCATCTATCACCATTTATAAGCCTCCACATTGCTGGCCATTTTCTGAAGATTTTTCTCCTTTTTTCCCATCTTCTGTGTCGTTTTACATTTGCGACAAAAAGTTTGCGATAGAAAAAGAACTAGTTATAGCTCACGTTTAAAGCTATCCAAATAAAAGAATTGAATAACCATGGAAAACAAAATGAAAGAATGGAAAATAAAAGAATTAAGATGAACCTGACAGTGTTGTGTGCTTTTATAATGATATGCAGAACGAGGATTATCTCTATTATACAGCATCTCTCTCTTGCTGTATAATAGAGAATCTCTATTATACAGCAAGGTGGAGGTTCATTAATTGTGTGGGAAGGCTTCACATACGGTTAAAACATAACGTAGCCTCTCCTTCAGGCTGTATAGAGATTGCTGATAATCAGAAAGCACTAGAAATCCGTCCATTGCAGAGAAAATTGGTAACTCAAGTTGGATTTTCCAGCAGGATGAATTTACATGGTTTACCCTTTTATATGACCAATACTCTAAAAAAACGCGAAGGCTTTCCTCAATGAGACTGTATACACCAAAAAGGAGCAGTTTTAATTTGTGGCTGAAATTTCAGGTTGTCATCATTGAAACCTGGGATAATATTGATGCTAATGGCCTCCAGGATTCATTACTTTCGTTACTTGTAACGAAAGTAAAAGTAAAAAGTACGTAATTTTACTTGTAATTAGTTACTTTTGAAAATTTTGTACTTATACTTTTTTTTCGTTACATTTTCCAGAAAAAAATACAAGTATTTGAAACGAGAATGTCGAGAAAAATCATTGCTTTTTTCGAATTTTTTAATAACATTTTTTCGATTTTGTTTTGTTTTGCTTTTTAATTTTGTTTTGAATTTTAATTTTTTAGGAGAAAAATTATAAACTAATAATTTGTAGTATTTTTTTTTTCATTGCTCACCCTTTTTACATCGGTTACCCTTTTCTAAGGAAAACAGTTCACTGCCATATAATATGATAGGAGTCATATAAATATTTATTATTGCCTTGAAATTTAATTGTCTAGATTTTATTCAGCTTTTTAACACGTGATAGTATTTATTAATCCTGAATAATCTGCTGATTTCAAGTGTAATATTCTTATCCTTAAAAATGACAGTACAGAGGTATATAAATCGTACAAATTAATGGACATATGCAGTTTGTCATAAAAGTTAAATAAATATCTATTCCTTGAAAACCAACATCTTCAAATCCACACAAATTTCGCATTTCTTTAAATTTCCTTTGATTATTGACAATTTTGTTGCATTTCGAAATTGTAAAAAAAATTATTTCGAAAAACTATAATCAAAGCTCACAGAAAATTTACTTTTTTTACTTGTAAAATTTGTAGGGGATATAATTTTCTAAAACAATTTTTTTTGAATAAAAAAAAATCTCTGGATTTTTTTTATTTTGATAATAGGTCACAATCTAGTTTGTCTCAATACTCGATCCAGAAGTTCCCTTGTCTTCTGGGTTGGGTTCAAATTTATAAGGTTACGGAGTTGAACATTCATGGTCGTAAATTCAGGAATGGTTCGCCTGTTGTATAATGAAATAAAAAGGCTAGTAAGCATATATTTATTACTGTACGAATTTTGCTTTTTGTTCTGCATAAAATTATTTTATTTACTTATTTATTTTTAAATAAAAGAAAATATTCATGTGACGGTTGTTATTCAGGAGGTACAAAACGCTTGAATTTGAACAACTTAAATATTATTGCAAGTTATTTCAAGTAAGTTAAAATAATGGTCTTTTAAAATATCTTAATAATTTTGAAACATAAAATTTACTTAAGTAAATTTGATAACACAGTTGCATATCATTAAGATTTCCAAAAACACTCAACGATATGAAAAATTAATTGAAAAGATGGATGTATCTAAAAGAGTACGACTTTTTGCTCTCTTGAGAATTTAATTCTCCCCAAACTTAAAAATTGGTTACAAAGTGTGTCAACAGATGGCGCTAAAGTTAAAAAACTCCGCTAAACAGTCATTTCTAAATAACTAACATTTGCAGCAAAAACGAGAGTCTGAGACCATAACCAACAAGCGCCCGGACATATATTTCAGCCGAAACGGTCTGATAGGCAGCTCCAGGCATTGTTTTAAAAAATTTCCATTTAGGAGCACCATCTGTTGGTAAGATATGTAATAAATTTTTTTTCCAGAAACAGAAGAAAGTAAAGAGTGTCCAGACGAGTGTATCCCAATTGCCAAACCAGCTTGTGGAAGTGATGGTCTGATTTATTTTAATGAATGCTTCCTCAGGATGAGGACATGCAAGTAAGTTAAATTCAAAAGCCCGGGTCACAATGTACATTTTATTTTCAATTTTTATACTTTTTATTTTTTACTCATTGGCAAAATGGGTTTTGTTTTGGGTTTGATGGCGTGCGCACCTTATTTGGACGTCATCACACTTTTCAACTGTGTTCAAGAATGATAGTAAACAGTGCGCACGTGTCATCATTGCATGTGTTGCTATGGCGACCACTGCTGTTTGATAACTTTTTTGGAATTCTTTTTTTCACTTTTAATTTTGCTAAGCATTAAGTTAGTGAGCCATTTTTTTTAAATTTAATTTTTCTTATTCTATAAGGTGCCTTAAGAAATATTGTTTTTCAACTGCCCTCTAAGGCTATGGATGGTTGACCATATAAAGCTAAGCGCTGATGGGGCTAATACACCCAAGCTTGTAAAAATGCACCATCCAATATTATTATGCTCGTAGTGTTTTCAATATAAGGCATTCTTTCAATCTAACTTTCGACGAAACAAACAACAAATGAATTCGGAAGACTCCGCAAGCTTGCTACGATGCTGCCCAACAAATAGCCAACGGTGCTATTTTACACAAATATAGCCAAATAAGGGATAGCACTCAAAACATGGCTAACCTTAACACTTTATTTATGCTGTGATATTAATCGTGTTAAATTTATTTTAGGCTCACGACCTGTTAGAATTCATAAATTACAGAAAACTCTCTTGAATGGTAAAAAGACGCGTAAATTTAAACACAAATCGCAATAATAAAACATCCTAGAATATTAAGCCTATTCGCACATAGGTTTGTAAGCATAACATAAGCGGAGGGATACACCGGAAATTTTCTAAATTTCTTCCGGTTTTAAGAAGTTTGTTATTCTTTATATTCAGTCCATCCATAGAGTCAGTGTTGAAGAATTTCGTTAGAGCGAAATTGTAGTCGAAAAAGAGATCAGAGTTAGAACCTACAGATTAAAGAAAAAACGCAGTTTTTGATCCTATAGAAAACTATTTAGACAAATATTTAAAGCTAAGGGACCCGTCTCCTGCTCACTCATTTTGAAAGTGTTGGAGCCCTTGATATTAACTTCTATGTTTTACCATACATCAGTCATTTTTCAAAGCATATCAAAAAACTTTCACCCTACAATTATGAAACTCGATTATCAAAAATGCATGCTGGTGGTCTGCAGGTCCTGAATAGAAATTCTAGCTACAGACATAGCTATCTAGATAATCGAAAGTATTTTACAGCCGAATGCAGAGGTGCATCACGGCAGTTTACTATAAAACATAACAGGATGATTTCGCAAATTTGCGGTATTTTCCTTGCGCTTCAGTGCGTAAGATTTTGCGTAATTGCGCATACTCACTTCCAGTGCTCACTCGTCAGTTCTGGTTAAATGCGCATGCGCCTATGAAGAAATATTAAACTTGCTTGAATGAAATTAATAGCAAGTATCCTTAATCCCCCCCCCCNCCCCCCCCCCCCGTTAACGTAATAGAATACTATTTTAACTTCGACCACAAAATCAAAACAGACATTTACGATGGCTGTAGACTGTCTCTTTAAAGCTGTGGCATACGATTCAAGATGCTTTATTCTAAGTAAAACTGCGGTCTTATGAGCAGAAAAATTTGATAGATTATAGATTTCGATGAACTCAGCGATATTATTATTATTAATAGTTTAAAAAATATTATTGAACTTAAATTGATTATTCAACTTCTTTTAACTAAATTGTATTGTTGAAAAACAAATAAATGTAATTTAAAATTTTGACTTAGTGAGAATTTAGTTTCTTATAAAACTAGTGCAATCAGACGAGCATAATATTAAACAAAACCAATAAAGTAATTTTTTTAATGAATAATGGTTTTAAGATCAAACAATTCATTTCTAAATTTTATCAATACACTTCTTTAAACTCGCATTCCATGTCTCCGTGTTTTTACTTCGAAGATAGGCTTAAGGAGAAAAAAAAATTAACAGCTATAAACAGTGTGCGTGTAGCTTTGTCTTTGTAGTGTAAATCAAGCCAACATAACGTAAAGGTACGTAGCATCTAAAATAAACGCGAGCATGAGCAGTTGCTTCAATCTTATATACGGAAGCTAACCTAAAAGTTCGAAATCTCCCTATTAAATGGATTTGTAATTCACATATTTCGAGGAGTTTTGAAATCAGTTTAGGAAATCAATGGGTCTGTGTGTTGTTTCTAAAACCACTTGTTGATATCAGCAGGCCTGCTTGGTGAAACTAAGGCAGAGAGGTTTTGTATTTCAGTTGCGCCGTTTATGACCAAGAATACAGCTTCAACCACACACACGTCACAGCCCGTTTATAGGGTAGATCTAATCATACATCCATTCATTCACAGATTGCAATTTTGATCTGCGCCAGAGAACGATCAATCTCTAATTCAGTACCCCAACAGGTATTGATTTGTTATGGGAACATGGAGGACTCTGTGACCCTGCAGATTAAACACGCACCAGTCACCATTTACTACACATACTGTTCGGCCGGTGGGAATTGAACTCAAGACATCTTAAACATGTGACCCTACCAACCAGGATATCTCGACCTCTTGTAGAATGCAATAATAATTATAAAAACCTAGTCTGAAATTAAAAACTTGTCGGGCTAAATATTTCCCTAATTTCCAGGTACAAAAACTTTTATTTTACAGGTTGTCTTAAAATTACGTTTTGCTGCTCTCAGTGGAAATTATGTTTTCAGGCATTGAAAAATACAGCGCGTCTCAGTGAAATGCTACAAATTAAGAGAAATTGGGGAGGCATCTTGATGACTTCAAATCATATATCTGATTTATACAGGAACATCATAAAGAAATACATCGCAAGTGAATATTCATTTTAATAATGCCGTTGTCGTACGCTATTACGACGCAAGGGGGCGCTTCTTTTACGTTCAAGGTCAAGAATTCAACTTCTGCCACACACATACGTCACAACTCGTTTATAGGATGAACTCATTCCTACATCCATTCTTTCATTCACAAATTGCAGATTTGACCTGTGCCAGAGAGCGATCAATCTCTATTCAGTACCCCCAGATATATTGATTTGTTATGCGAACATGGAGGACTTTGTGATCCGTCATATTTATTGTGTATCAGTCACCATTTACTACACGGAGAATCTTCGGCGTTGATCGTACTCACGACCACCTGAGTCTGGGCCCTATTCCCTATCAATCAGGAGCTATCTCAGCCTCCCCGTTTTAATAATAAATGAACTGCAAAAACAAAAAGGACATAGGCTGTGGAATGTGTTGGAAATTTTTTCCACAGCGTTGGCGCATGGAATTCCGGAACAATCTGGGCTAATCTCGAATATCTATTGAGCTTACGCACAACACCGTCTACCATTTCAGGAGCGCATCTTTCATTGCTATGTAGATGCTCCTTCTTAAAAACGCTTAACTGAGACTCCGTATATAGTGCTACAAGGCAGCCAATATGTTAAGAAATATTCTCAGAATATTTTTTAAAAGTTTATAATTCTGTGCAAGCCAGATCGAAAGAATTAGGAACACTAACATCGCCGTTTTTAAAATTTATTTTGTGTCAATTGAAAATGTTACAAAACCATTAACTTAAGGGGTTTATAGAAAAAACTGTTTATTTCCTATTTTCAAAACTGACTAGACTCTCTCAACGTAAACGAACGCGAAATGATTAAACCCACATTCTTATTCGAATCCATCAACTTTGGAAACCTCAGTGACCATCAGCAGGCAAACATGAAGAATTCTCGTGATAGCCAAACAGTACTTAGCTGTGTTTATGGAGTCTGATTATTTTTAACTTGATATTTTAAGAACTATTCCTAATTTTTTGTAATATTTGAAACCTGCTCACCAGGAAAGAATAGACCGTCATATTGCCCACATAATACTAAGTATAAATCAACTTCCTACCTATTGATTTTGATCCCAGCTTCAAATATATCTGAGAATCCCTAAAAGGCTTCTCAATAATCTCAAAACCACCATAAATTTTATGAAGACAAAAAAAGTAGTTAACAGAAAAGCAGTGTTAGTTAAAAACGAGGAGATGATTTTCTTTTATGAAAGGGGATTAACATGATTGTACTCACCAAAGTTACCCAGATTATACTTTCTTTGTAGATAAAATTGGCGTGATCTCCCCTCTCTGTTACCATGGTTTCTTCAAATCATGATTTTTTTCTTCCTGCAGCAGTTAGTTCCGGTGAGAAGTTAGAATGCTGGGATGGAGAAAAAGTCGAGCCGTAACTGTGGTTACAATGGGGGGGGGGATAGCGTATAACTCTAAGATTTAAAAAAGATTATAAATGGTTGTATGAAATTGTTACAGGCAAGGAATCGTACAAGTGCCAATGGACAATTGTCTCTTTATACCCAAATGCCCACAAGTCTGTCTTCCATTTTATGATCCTGTTTGCGGCTCGGATGGTAATCTTTACACCAATTATTGCAGAATGCTACAAACCAATTGCGGGTAAGCTCTTCTCTTTGTGCATCTACTTGCAGGGAGTTCTATAATGACTACTCCTAACATTTATTTAAAAATTCTTTGTCAAAAAGTTGAAAATGAAGCAGGGTATACTTATTTGGCTTCGCAAGTTAATAATTAAGGCAGGAAAAGAAAGAAGATCGAAATCTGTAGAATTACTATTGATGAAGGCGGGACTGAAAATACCAAGACTTGTTTGATTGCTCGAAGAAACAGAGGGAGGATTAGTAAAAACAATTCCGAGTTTCATCAGACAATTAAACTGATGATTTTTTTCATCTCATCTTTCAAATTTTGACAGCGTTTTTGTTACTTCGTCGCTTAAATTAGAAATTTGCGACTCCCAATGAGTACACTTTTTTTATGCCATTTATTATAAGAATTTTTTAAAAATATTATAAGGGAGGTCATTATAGATAGCTATGTATAGATTTTGATGCCATTTGTTATAAGGATTTTAAAAAATGTATTATAAGGGTGGTCATTATAGATAACCATATACAGGGTGTCTCAGTTAAGCGTTTCAGAACTTTTAAGAGGGGTAGGGGGCATCCTGACGACTCGAAATCATATAGCAATGTGGGGTCGGAAATGCTTTCCTGAAGCGGTGACGTACACAGAAGCACCATAAAGAAAAGAGACCGTAAGTGAAAAATCGCTATAATAATACATTGAAAAAATTATATGGCCTCCTCGGTCACCCGACCTATCATGTCTTGATTTCTGGAGTCATATGAAAACACTGGTTTATGACACCCCTGTTGATAATGCTGGTTGCAAGAATCGCAGTAGCTGCCTGCGAGATATGCCTGGAGTATTGCAGAATGTTCGAATGTCCATGCGCCGGAGATGTGAGGTGTACATTGTAGCCGGTGGCAGAAACTTCGAACACTTACTTTGGCCCATGTACCATATAATTTTTTCAATGTATTATTACAACGATTTTTCACTTACGGTCTCTTTTCTTTATGGTGCTTCTGTGTACGTCACCGCTTCAGGAAAGCATTTCCGACCCCACATTGCTATATGATTTCGAGTCGTCAGGATGCCCCCTACCCCTCTTAAAAGTTCTGAAACGCTTAACTGAGACACCCTGTATATCTTTTGATGCCATTTGTTACAAAAGTTTTAAAAAAAATATTATAAGGGTGGTCATTATAGATAACCATAGGTAATTTTGGACTGAATAATGCGTAAAGTATAGTTGGTATATCTATTCTAATATATTACAAAAGCGTTACCATCACTAATTTCGGTGCTCAACTTTATGCTACATTTCGTTTTGGTGTGCAAAAACTATAAAACTTAAAAACCCGAATTTACGATGATATGCAAAAAATGGATAGGAAGTGCGATGAAATAAAAAAAATTACATTCTCAATTATATAGATCGGGAATAACTTTTTGATAACTTTTCGAAGGGACTGTTAAACTTTTAATAAAAAATAAAACGCGAACCGCTTTGCAAAACGCAGAAAGGAAACTACAGAGTTGAAATCTGATGAGCTAAAAGAGCCATTTCTGTTTATGAGCTCACTCTTTTTTCGAACTTTTAATTTGTTCGAAAGTTTCTACAGTTTTGAGTGCTTCTGTGAATTTATACTCACTCTTTTGCTTTACGTTACATTTTGTTTGTTTTGCTGCTCAAAATCCATAAAACTTAGAAACTTGAAATAATATACTTGTGAAGAATATACTGAAAGGGCCATTTTCCTTTATAAACTTAACGTGTATATTTTTTAAATTCAAATTCCTCTTAAAGTAATTGCAATTTCAAGTGCATAAGTATGAAAAAAAACTGTTTTCTTCTTAGCCAAGTTTAGTGAGAAACACAGTTTTTAAAGTTTTATTTTATTTTTTGAGTTTTACTTTATATTTTTCACACTCGACTCAGGTATGAAATGTGAATGAGTTCGATCAGAATTAGTGATGCGAAGTTGTTATACAAATAATACGAAACTCAAAACGTTTCAAGCAAGACAAAAATCAGTATGGTTACGAAATTTGAGGAGGAAAATTAATTTACCGAATAAATAATGTTAATGAGCATTAACTAAAATAGAACAAGTATCATCTTTTCCTAAATGCCAATTTCAACTTATATGTTTTCTCCGTTGAATTAAACACATTGTGCTGATAAAAACTTGAATATCATTATTCTAAATATTTTCAGCTCTTCTATTTAACTATTCGGTCAAATCCGGGAGAATGGTGATCTGAACCTTTTGTAAGGTTGTAACCTTTCTTGTATTATTGGTACATTCGCAATTAATATTTCCTTCCGTTTACGATCGACATGAAGTGTTCATTCTTGTCAATCGTTCGGTTTTTCATAATAAAATAAATTTAAAAAAATCTGCTCCAAATGAGGAAGAAGTTTTCCTTTCTCGAGAGTGATATATGATAAATATGTTAACTTTTAATCTTTTCCTCCATTTTTCTATTTTCAGGAAACAAGTAAAAAAGATGCCGTCAAGCTTTTGTCAAGGAAGTACTTAAAAAAAGGAGCGTTTCTCTTGGATGGTTGACTGCACTATGATTTATTTAATACATATTCTACATTTTTTTTTTGAAAAAAAATATAATAGTCTGTACATAAATATATATATTTATTTAATGAAAATGAGGATTGTATGTCGCATGATATTGAGATAATGTTTGTAACTCATTTTGGTAGAATAACCTTTCATTAAATTATGAGGGTGGGGGGATTGAAAGCGTTTAAACTTGAGGGTTATTCAAACAAAGTGGTGAAAATATAGTAGCCTTAAAATCATCTACTACTCAATGGATGCATTTAAGGATTTTTTAACTGTTAATTTGTCATTTTTTTCCAAAAAAATATTGTTATTTTTGGTTTTCACGTCAAACCCTTTGCTGTTGTGTATGTCCTCAACCATTTTTCGTTACCGTTTTAATTGAATGTCGGTTTCCATTTACTACAGCTAAGAGTTGTACTTATAGTATTAAACAACTGTTAATTTAAGAGGACACAATACTTCATAATTCATCACAACAAATTATAAGAAATTCTCCATAACAAGTTCTATGTCATTTAAAACTAATAGCCGTCGAAGTAGCATGTTCAGGTGAACTTAGAATAAATTATAAAGTTTTGAAAAAGTATTTTCAAAATATCAAACTAATTATTGTTCTCCGGATTACACAACGAGGAAGTAATCCAACAATATTTTGTTTGAATTTTGAAAACATATTTTCGGCTGTTGAAATTTCATGCCCCACGGTATAAGGTTTTCTTGCATTAAGTCTATAATGCTTTAAAGAAAAAGATAATATTCCGAAAAATATTTGATAAAATATGTTTAAATAAATGTAATAGCGTTTTTTTTCTTCATTATCTTGCATATTATGTTCCTCTAATAAAGATTAATACTGACCAATGTAACAATTATACATAAACTAAATGCTGTCTCAAAGGGCTTAATGTTACCTTAGTAGAAACTAACTAATACATTTTGTGATTGCTGTTTTTTTTTTCGTTTTCTTAACAATACTATAAGTTAATAATTTTAAAATGTATCCTTTCATTTTGTGTTCATATAAATGTAATTTATAAAATTGAAAATCGTTTACTAATAAAAATTACTTTTGTACTGGGCTTCTTTTTTTCCAGAAATTAATTTTTTAAAGAAATTTATACCACAATGCAAGTGGAAATAAAGCGACTTTTTTTAGAAAAACACTCAAACGAAATATATTATTCGAAATTATTTTTACGGTGTAATTAATTCTTTCAAAAAACTAAGTAAAAGGAAGATTATTTTATGACTGATTTGGGATTCTGCCTTTCGCTAACATCAGCATGAAATTTTCAAAAAAATCGAATTTTATTTTTACATAATTGGACAGTATAGTAGTATAATTGGACCTCAAATATCTTCCAAATTGTACAGCTTCTCATTTCTAAAGAAGTATTGTATAGAGAACGTTCTAGTGTTGCTGTTTCCGAAAGGTGTTTCTAGTATAACTAGGGTTCCGTAAAAGGTTCGCAAGGTCGCAAAAACAGTTATAATTTTTTTAACATGTTATATTTAGATAAAATCAAAACAATCCGTTGAGGTCATTTTTATGAAATTATTGAAGGAATGTGCTTTCGAAAAAAATAGTGTTATATCAAAAAATACTTTTTTCTGATAACGAAATGTATTGAATAAATAATGAAATAGTTTAGTATTTATAAAATAATTCCATCTATATTTCCCTTAAATATTTTCAATTCAAAGAGAATAACAAAATTCAACATTTATTCAACTTTCATAATTCATTTTCCTTTCAAGAGAAACCTTGATTCAGCTTTTTTTTTATCATCTCATTTTCAGCATATGCAATAGACTAAGAAATAATTCAGAGCTAGACTGCATGTCACTCTAGACTTGAGAATTGAACTGTCTAAAATGAAATATAGTTTTAAGAAAATGAGTGATAAAACAATGAAAAAAATTAACATTAATATTTTAAAAATCATTTTATTTTATTTTATTAACGTCGTTTGAAAGCTCCGTTATAAAGCAACTCCGTTGCTTTATAATTTTGAGCCCTATCCAGATGACAAAGGACTCCTGGTTGGGTGAAATTTTGCCTTCGAAGCCTTTTTGCCTTTTGTGTTTAACTAACCCGCATTTGCGTTTCATGGAGATGAAAACCTCCCACGGTTAGACTGACGGGAAAGAACCCTAGCCCATCATTCATCTACCAAGGAGAAAAATTTCATCCGCACCATGGAGGACTTTGCGACTCGACAGATTTAACGTGCATCAGTCACCATTTACTACACGGGGAGTCTTCGGCCGGCCTGGGATTGAACCCATGAACTCTTTGACATGGGCCCTGAGCCCTACCAAGCATGCTATTCCGGCCCTCCAACAGCTCATTTTTTCGACAAGTTAATCTCGCCGACAGTTCAGTTCGCTGACACGATCTCTTCGCCGACAGGTCATTCGGCCGAAAAGATCATTTCGCCAACACGATCATTTCATTTTCATGATCAATTTAATTTTGATTTTGTTCAAATTTTTATTTTTTTTCCCTATTTTCTTTAATTAGTTGCTCAATTTTTTTCCCGAAAAAACTTTCTGCCTTTATTTATATTTACTATGCACTATTTTGTGGTAGCTATAAAATAACTTATTTATTTAAAATTTGCTTATTGCTGAAATTCGGGATACAAATATTAAGCATCAGCATTGCTTAGTTTCGCCTCAATCTTTCACGAGCACAATTTCTAGCGATTTCGATTAAATACGCTTTTCTACGAAGACAAAACTTTTGATCTAATAATTGGATCTTAGAATTGAAAAATTTTTGCCTGCAATTATAAAATTTATTTTTTCAAAAATAATTTTATGTAAAAAATAAATTTTAGTAAATATTTCTTTATTATAATTTTATTTAATAATAGTCGAAAAATGTTTGCTTTGTAAGGTGCCAAATTTGAGAGCGAAATCGGCTGAATAGTTCCTGAGATATCAAATCTTAAATATTCAACTTCATTAAAATTCTTTTTCTTGAGAACTATTCAACTGATTTCGTATAAATATTTTATTTTGCTGTGTAAAATTACACACTTTAAAACGACGTAAAAAATTTTACACCTTACATTTCAAAATTTTTTCGACCATTATTATTTAATCGTTATATTGAGCTTTTATTGTTTGTATTCGGGAGATTTATCTATCGCCTGCAGCGTTTAAAATCCGCTCACTGGATCAAAAAGTATTTAGAATAATCTGTTTTTCATTTTGTTTAAAAAAGTTTTTATTTGAAATTTTTCTGGTCTCATATCCAAAAAAGTTTAAATTTCCAGGATAAAACGTCCACTGTTGTAAAAGTTTTCAATTTTTGTTTGTGGTAGCTTAATTCAAAATTTTTTTTTAATTCGAAAAAATGCCGCTTCAAAAACTGAAATTAGGTGATAGAAATGATAGCCTGGTTGTCAGAGTGCTGGACTCACGTTTGTGAGAATCCAGTCGGCCGAAGACTCCCCGTGTAGTAAATGGTGACTGGTGCGCGCTAAATCTGTCGGATCACAAAGTCCTCCATGTACCTATTTCAAATTAGTACCTCTAGGGATACTGAATTAGAGATTGATCGTTCTCTGGTTCAGGTCAAAATTAAGATCTGTGAACGAATGAATGGATGTATGAGTGGGTCCACCCTATAAGAGGGTGTGACGTATGGGTGTGAAGGAAGTCGAATCCCTGTCCACAGGAAAGTAAGGAGAATCTCACCCCCCTCTGGCTTAATGGCCGATGACAAAAACAACAAATGAAGGAAAATAAGAAGAAAAAAATAATCACAACAAATGAATATTAGTGAATTATTAAGCTTAAAAATTAAATATGGAAAATCCATAATATTTTTATTAAGAAGGGTCGATGAGTGGAAGATTATATTTCTCGCAACAAATATGTTACGCCTTATACAAATATTTTGCTTAGCCAAAATTAATGCTATTTAAAAAATATTTTACAACCTATGCATAAATGCTTCAGGTAAATATTATGCTGGATGCTACGATCCAGCTATAATAATCATTTTTGATTTAGTATCTTACGCGAGAGTACATTGAAACAACAACAAAAATGGACCACGCTGCATAGCTTTTGATCTAATGATCGGATCTTCACGTTCTAAGAATCAATGGTCCGAGAGGGTACCTCAAATATGCTAATTAATTAGTGCATCCCCACTGTATTATTTACGCGAATAATTTATACATTTGTTATTATATTTTAATTAGCTTTAATTTTGGGTGAACAATATATCTGTATTTGTCGTAACATATTAGTCGCGTGAAATATAATATTCTACCTAATCACCTTTGTTGTTGAAAATGTTCTGTATTTACCAAGTTTACTTTTTTAAAGTTAATAATTCTGGAAAAATATTTTTTGTGAATTTTTTTTCCGTATTTTTCCCTTATTTTATTTCAGTTTTTGAAGCTGCATTTTTTTGAGTTAAAAACAAAATTATTAAACTTAGCTTCCTCATACGAAAATTGAAAACTTTTACAACAGACTCTATGTAGGAAGTTTTCATCTAGGAAACTGAAACTTTTTCGGATATGAAACCAGTAAGATTTCAAACAAAGTAAAAACCAGATTATTCTAAGTATTTTTTGGTTTATTAAGCGGTTTTCAAACACAGCAGGCGATAGATAAATAATGAAATCACCCGAAAACATACAATAAAAGCTCCATATATCGACTACAACGATAAATCCGCTATTACAACAAATTTCCTAGTCACCGTAGAAAGCCTAATAATAAAGATACAATAATTAGAAGTTTATAATGAGTTAAAAATTGCTAACCTTCCGCTATTACGACAAATTCGTTACTGGGAAATACTTTTCTGTCATTTAAGTCAGCAACATTTTACGAAAAAAGATTTAAGTAGAAGACATTTTTATTTATTTCTGGTATAAATACAGAAAAGCGAAAATCGAACATCGTTTCTTTCTTACAATTTTATCCTATTACTTTAATAAGGCAATCCCTATACGATTTATAGGTAAGTTATTTTCTTCCCAACAGAAAGAAAAACTCCATTGCTATTTTTAAAATTCCTAGCGTGTCATTGAAAAGAATGCATCTTTTGTTAAGCACATTTCTTTTATACTCCTTTTTTTCCCCCTAAATTACACAACTTACTATTAAAGTAAACAATGACTGCTTTCAATGACATCAAAAAGTTTATTTTATTTTTTCTAACAAAAACTTGTTACGATTTATAAACTTGTCGCTCAAACATTTCTGTGCGAGAAATTTGTCTTTGATAAAGTACAAAGCTACGTTATTCAGTCTACAATCTGTAGGGGGGGACAGTCTACTCTAGATAACTGTTTCAAATCGAAATGGACGATATTTTAAGTTGCGAAATCAGACACAAAAACGTACTTTCTTTGTTCCTTTTTTTCGATGGATTCGGATTTCTGACCTCCAAAATATAGGGAGTAGCCACAATCTGGTCCCTAAAGTTTGATCAAGGGTAGTGATCCAAAGTTTGGAACCCTTAATGTTAATTTAAGTTTTTATTTTGATATATCTCGAGAACTTTTCATGCGAATTTTAAAAATTTTGCACACAATTACAAAATTCGTTTATCCAAAAATAATTCCAAGCAGTATATAAATTTTAGTAAATGTTTATTATTTTATTTAATAACAGTAGAAATAATTTTGAATTGTAAGGTATACAATTTTTTTCATCATTTTAAAGGATGTAATTTTCCATGGTTACCTTAAAAAATCAGTGTAGGGAATATCCAGTATATGTAAACCGGGAAATGGCCCTTAAATTCAAAAAACAACTGCGTAGAGAATTACTTGCAAGTGTGAAACAAACAATGGCCCACACATTCTTGCAGAATTATTATTTTAGTGAAACCGGATTTTATTAATAATAATCACGTCTATTGATAAACGTGGTAATAAATGCACATTAATCACGCTTCTCGTTCTGCATTTGCCCGGTATTCCCTCTACTGATATTTTTCAAGGGTAAGGACTATGGCCC